GGGAATGACGGGAGAGGAACGGGAATAACGGCGGCGGGAGCGAACGAGGCGGGGGAGGGGATGGTGAATAATGGGGTAATAGCGGGGGAGTGGTGGGGTAATAATGGGTTAATAATGGGTTATTAATGGGTTAATAATGGGTTAATAGTGGGGTGAGAATGGGTTAATAATGGGGTGATAATGGGTTAATAATGGGGTGATAATGGGTTAATAATAGGGTAATAATGGGCTGATAATGGGGTAATAATGGGGTAATAGTGGGGTGGTAATGGGGTAATGATGGGGTAATAGTGGGGTGGTGAGGGGGTAATAATGGGGTAATAATGGGTTAATCATGGGATAATAGTGGGGTAGTGGTGGGGTAATAATGGGTTAATAATGGGTTGATAGTGGGGTAATAATAGTGGTGGGGTGGGGTAATAATGGGGTAATAATGGGGTAATAGTGGGGTGACAGTGGGGTAATAATGGGGTAATAGTGGGTGGTAATGGGGTAATAATCCATTAATGGTGGGGTGATAATGGGGTAATAATGGGGCAATAATGGGGCAATAATGGGGTAATAGTGGGGTAATGATGGGGTGATAATGTGGTGATAAAAGGGTGATAATGGGGTAATAACGGGTTAATAATGGCTTGATAATGGGGTGATAATTGTGTTAAAATGGGGTAATAATGGGGTGAGAAATGGGTAATAGTGGAGTGATAATGGGGTAATGATGGGTTAATAATGAGGACTAATGGGGTAGTGATAGGGTAATAATGGGGTGATAATGGGGTGATAATGGGGTGATAATGGGGTGATTAATGGGGTGATTAATGGGGTAATAACAGGATAACGGGATAACCGGGTGACGGGATAACGGGAAGGAAGGAGCAGGAAAAGGGAAGGAAAGGGAAAGGAAAAGGAAAAGGGAAAAGGAAAAGGGAAAGGAGAAGGAGAAGGAAAAGGAAAAGGAGAAGGAAAAGGAGAAGGAGAAGGAGAAGGAGAAGGAGAAGGAGAAGGAAAAGGAAAAGGAAAAGGAAAAGGAAAAGGAAAAGGAAAAGGAAAAGGAAAAGGAGAAGGAAAAGGAAAAGGAGAAGGAAAAGGAGAAGGAGAAGGAGAAGGAGAAGGAGAGCGAGAAGGAGAAGGAGAAGGAGAAGGAGAAGGAGAAGGAGAAGGAGAAGGAGAAGGAGAAGGAGAAGGAGAAGGAAAAGGCAGGAGCCCCTTGGCAGCCACTCACGTGCCGGGAGAAGTAGTAGAAGCTGAGCATCACCACGAAGATCATGGCGGTCATGGAATACTTGGAGGGCACCAGCACGGACCTGCCGGCCAGCACGGCACATTCCCGAGGGACTGTCCCACGGAATTCCGGCCCCGTCCCCCGTCCCTCCCCGCCCCCGTCCCTTACGAGCCGTGCTGGCCGCGCCGGCGGTCGTACTGCTCCAGGATGGGCTCCCAGGCCGAGAAGTTGAGGGCGCCGGTGGCGGCGGTGATGGAGACCATGAGGCTCAGCTTGACCATGTGGCTGACCTGGACCAGCATGACGGTGGCCACCAGGGCCAGCAGGGCGATGTGGCTGTAGCACTGGGGCTGCTCGGCGCAGCCGCCGGAACCGGCCGGCCACGAGGTGCCGTTGGTCAGCGGCCAGCGGTGGCGGCGGCAGCCCAGCTGGGGACACGAGGGTGGGGTCAGAGAGGGGACACGGTGGCCACCAGGGGGATGGAGATGGCATATCCCACCCTCCATGGTGGCCCCGATGTCCCATTGGCCACCACGCCATGGTGCTCATGGTGGCCCAGCTGGGGGCACAAGGGTGGGGTCGGTGCGGGGTCATGGTGGCCACCAGGGGGATGGAGATGGCATATCTCGCCCCCCCATGGTGGCCCTGATGTCCTCTTGGCCACCACACCACGGTCCTCAGGGACGTGGTGACCACCAGGGGGATGGAGATGCCCTCTTTGGGTTCCTCCTCATGGTGGCCCTAATGTCCCGTTGGCCACCAGCCCGTGGTCCCCATGGCAGCTGAGCTGAGACATGGTGGCCGCCATGGCCAGCAGCGTGATGGAGATGCCATATTTGGGCTGGCCACCACCCCACGGTGGCCCTGATGTCCCATTGGTCACCACCCTGTTGTCCCCATGGCAGCTGAGCTGAGACATGGTGGCCACCATGGCCACCATGGCCACCATGGGGATGGAGATGCCATATTTGGGATGTTCCTAAAAGCCACCACCCCATGGTGGCCCCGATGTCCCACTGGCCACCACAGAAGGTCCTCATGGTGGCCCAGCTGGGGACACAAGGGTGGGGTCAGTGCGGGGACACGGTGGTCACCAGGGGGGTGGAGATGGCATATCCCACCCTCCATGGTGGCCCCCATGTCCTCTTGTGGTCCCCATGGTGGCCCAGCTGGGGACATGGTGGCCACCATGGCCACCAGCATGATGGAGCTGCCATATTTGGCTTCCTCCTCAGAGCCACCCCCCCCATGGTGGCCCCGATGTCCCTTTGGCCACCAGCCCGTGGTCCCCACGCGTCTCCTCACCCACCATGTCCACCACGTCGGCCGCGGTGACGATGGCGATGGCCGCCATGGCCCAGGCGTTGCGCGCCCAGCGCGTCCGGTCGATCCAGGTGGAGAAGGCCACCAACTTCCTGGGGAAAGCCTGCGGTGACACCAGCACAGCGGGGACCGTCACCCGCGGCCCCGATGTCCCCGAGGAGCGGCCGCAATGTCCCCAGGGCACATCCGGGATGTCCCCAGGTCACCTCAGGGATGTCCCCAGGTCACCCCCGGGATGTCCCCAGGTCACCCCTGGGATGTCCCCAGGTCACCTCAGGGATGTCCCCACGTCACCTCAGGGATGTCCCCAGGTCACCTTGGGGATGTCCCCAGGTCACATCTGGGATGTCCCCAGGTCACCTCAGGGATGTCCCCAGGTCACATTGGGGATGTCCCCACATCACCCCTGGGATGTCCCCAGGTCACCTCAGGGATGTCCCCAGGTCACATTGGGGATGTCCCCAGGTCACATCCGGGATGTCCCCAGGTCACACATCCGGGATGTCCCCAGGGCACCTCAGGGATGTCCCCAGGTCACCTCAGGGATGTCCCCAGGTCACCCCCGGGATGTCCCCAGGTCACCCCCGGGATGTCCCCAGGTCACCTTGGGGATGTCCCCAGGGCACATCCAGGATGTCCCCACATCACCACCAGGATGTCCCCAGGTCACATTTGGGATGTCCCCGTGTCCCCTCGGGGCTCTCCCCGTGTCCCCTCGGGGCTGTCCCCGTGTCCCCTCGGGGCTGTCCCCGGCTCTCACCCGTGGGAAGACGGCAGCCAGGGAGCAGAGGGTGAGCACCAGCAGCAGCACCTCGCCCACCACCAAGGTCACGTAGTTGGTCACCAACCTGCCCAGAGAAACGCCCGGCGGTGACAACCTGGTGCCACCAGCCCGTCCCCCAGCTGTCCCCAAGCTGTCCCCAAGCCCACCAGGGGTCGATGACGGCCTCCACCAGGGCGGTGAAGAAGAGGACGACGCAGGAGCAGCTGAAGGCGGCGCCGCTCTGCTTCTCCTTCTCCACCGAGTAGCGCGTCTCCATCTCCGGGTCGGTGAAGCGCATGGACAACCGGAAGGTGCTCTTGCCCTTCAGCCTGCCGGGGGCGGAGCTCCGTCGGAATTCCCGGGAATTCCCGGGAATTCCTGGCGGGAAGGGGAAGGGCACTCACGCCTGGATGGACTCGCGCTCCAGCAGGGCCTCGTTGAGGAGCTGGTTGAGCTCCTGCTCGTTCTGCGCCGCGCCCGCCACGCGCTCGGCCAGGTCCCGCAGCCGCAGCCGGCGCCGCGGGTTGGGGAACGACGGGTTCTCCACCTGCGGGGACAGCGTGGGGACAGCGTGGGGACAGCGTGGGGACATTGTGGGGACACCGCGGGTTGGGGAACAACGGGTTCTCCACCTGCGGGGACAGCGTGGGGACAGCGTGGGGACAGCGTGGGGACACCGTGGGGACAGCGTGGGGACATTGTGGGGACACCGCGGGTTGGGGAACGACGGGTTCTCCACCTGTGGGGACAGCGTGGGGACATTGTGGGGACATTGTGGGGACACTGCGGGTTGGGGAACGACGGGTTCTCCACCTGTGGGGACAGCGTGGGGACATTGTGGGGACATTGTGGGGACACCGCGGGTTGGGGAACGACGGGTTCTCCACCTGTGGGGACAGCGTGGGGACATTGTGGGGACATTGTGGGGACACTGCGGGTTGGGGAACGACGGGTTCTCCACCTGTGGGGACAGCGTGGGGACATTGTGGGGACATTGTGGGGACACCGCGGGTTGGGGAACGACGGGTTCTCCACCTGCGGTGACAGCGTGGGGACACCGTGGGGACATCATGGGTGGGGACATGGTGGGGACACTGCGGGTTGGGGAACGACGGGTTCTCCACCTGCGGGGACAGCGTGGGGACACTGTGGGGACATTGTGGGGACATGGTGGGGACACCGCGGGTTGGGGAACGACGGGTTCTCCACCTGGGACAGCCACAGATGGGGACAGAGTGGGAACAGCGTGGGTGGGGACATTGTGGGGACATTGTGGGTGGGGACAGCGTGGGGACACGGTGGGTTGGGGAAGGACGGGTTCTCCACCTGCAACGGCCACGGGTGGGGACACTGCGGGTGGGGACATCGTGGGGACAGCGTGGGTAGGGACAGCGCAGGGACATCACGGGTGGGGACAGCATGGGGACACCGCGGGTTGGGGAAGGACGGGTTCTCCACCTGCGGTGACAGCGTGGGGACAGCGTGGGGACATCACGGGGACGTCGTGGGGACATCGAGGGGACACCGTGGGGACACCGTGGGGACACCGCGGGTTGGGGAAGGACGGGTTCTCCACCTGGAACGGCCACGGGTGGGGACATCGTGGGTGGGGACACTGTGGGGACATTGTGGGTGGGGACACTGCAGGTGGGGACATCGTGGGGACATCACAGGTGGGGACACCACTGGTGGGGACACCACAGGGACATGGTGGGGATACCGTGGGGACATTGTGGGGATATTGTGGGTGGGGACACCATGGGTTGGGACATGGTGGGGACATCGCGGGTGGGGACATTGTGGGGACACTGAGGGTGGGGACATCATGGGTGGGGACACCACGGATGGAGACATCGTGGGGGCATCGTGGATGGGGACACGGCGGGGTGGCCAGGGGAGCGGGAATTCTGGGAATGGGCGTTACCTCTCCATCCTCATCCTCGAGCTCCAGGGAGTTCCTGCGGGCGGCCTCGGGATCCTCGGGATCCTCGGGATCCTCGGGATCCTCGGGATCCTCGGGATTCCCGGGATTCTCCGGACGCTCCGGGCTGAGGCTCCCGTTGCGCTCGGTGGCCGTGAGCGGTGGAGGGGACACGCCGTGGGACGAGGTCAGGGACAGCTTCTGTGGGGGACGCGGTGACAGGGGTGTCCCCAATGCCACCATCAGGGGTGTCCCCAGTGTCACCACCAGGGGTGTCTCCAATGCCACCACCAGGGGTGTCCCCGGTGTCCCCGGTGCCACCACCAGGGGTGTCCCCATGACCCCCAATACCTCCAATGCCGCCAATGTCCCCAGTGCCACCCGATGTCCCCGCTGTCCCCATGGCACCTCTCACCACTCCGTTGACACCGTGCTTCAGCTCCCCAATGTCCCCACTGTCCCCGCTGTCCCTGCTGTCCCCAGTGTCCCCAGACCCCCCAGTGTCCCCAGACCCCCCAATGTCCCCACTGTCCCCTTTGTCCCCGTGTCCCCGCTCACCACGCCGTTGATGCCATGCCTCAGGCCACCAGACCCCCTGATGTCCCCAATGTCCCCAGACCCCCCAATGTCCCCAATGTCCCCAATGTCCCCGTTGTCCCTGCTGTCCCTGTGTCCCCGCTCACCACGCCGTTGACGCCGTGCCTCAGGCTCCCAGACCCCCTGATGTCCCCAATGTCCCCAGACCCCCCAATGTCCCCAATGTCCCCAATGTCCCTGATATCCCCGTTGTCCCCGATGTCCCCGCTGTCCCCGTGTCCCCGCTCACCACGCCGTTGACGCCGTGCCTCAGGCCGTGCCGCGGCACCACCACCAGGTAGGTGACGATGCCCTTGTCCCTCAGGTACTCGCAGCGGGAGCCGCCCTCGCCCGGCTCCACCTCGAACTCGCCCTTCAGGCAATCCACCGTGCTCTGCGAGATGTGCACCCGCCTGCCCGCCGACACCGGCGTCACCACCGCGGTGTCACCGCGGCGGTGTCACCACCATGACATTCCCCACTGCGTCCCCGCCACACCGTCCCCACCACGGTGTCACCGCAGTGGTGTCACTGCAGCGGTGCCCCCACCGTGGTGCCCCCACCTCGACGTCCCCACCACAACATTCCCACCACAGCCTCCCCACCACGACATCCCCACCTTGATGTCCCCACCTCAACATCCCCACCGTGACGTCCCCACCACAATGTCCCCACCGCGACCTCCCCATAGCGATGTCCCCACCACACCGTCCCCACCGCATCATCTCCATCTCAGCAGCGTCCCCACCGCACTGTCCCCACCACGCTGTCCCCACCACGACATCCCTATAGCGATGTCCCCACCATGACGTCCCCACCGCGCCGTCCCCACCACATCATCTCCATCTCAGCAGCGTCCCCACCGCACTGTCCCCACCACGCTGTCCCCACCACGCTGTCCCCACCACGACATCCCTATAGCGATGTCCCCACCGCAGCGTCCCCACTGCAATGTCCCCACCTCGATGTCCGCACTGTGACCTCCCCACCTCAAAGTCCCCACCGCGCCATCCCCACCACAGCATCTCCACCTCAGCAGCGTCCCCACCGCACCGTCCCCACCACGACATCCCCATCGTGCTGTCCCCACCGCGCTGTCCCCACCGTGCCGTCCCCACCATGACAGCCCCCCCGCGCTGTCCCCACCACGCTGTCCCCACTGCGCCATCCCCACCAC